TTTGACACTGTCTTCCATGCCATTCTTATTAACAGGCTAGATGAAAGTACTGTAAGGTGGATACATAGCTCATTGAATCACCATATTCGATGAGTAGTCATCAATGTTTCAATCTCTAGTTGAAAAGAGTATTAAGTGGGGTTCCACAAAGGTCTGTCTTGACTCTAGTATTGTTCAATATCATCACTAATCATTTGGATGATGGAATTCAGTGCATGATTTATAGATGGCACCAAGTTGCAATTTGGGTGGAGTTGCAATAAACTGGAGGGTAGGGCTGGGATCCAGAATGACCTGGATAGACTGGAAAACAGATTTGCAAATGATTAGATGAGACTAAAGAGTGACAAGTGCTAAGTCCTGCACTTGGGACAAAATAACTGCATGTACAAATACAGACTGGGCAATGACTGGCTAGAGTGCAGTACTGCAGAGAAGGACCTGGGGGGTTACAGTAGACCAGAGTTCAGCAACGCTTTTGGCCAGAGTGCCAAAAAACCCCAGTCTTGACCCACTTCTCAACTTCAGGTGCCAAAGTCAGATGACGGGAGCCTTGAGGGGCCCAATCCTTATTGCTGGTGGTGGGTGCATGTGTGCCTGGGGGGGTGCGGGGGAGAGGGTTTGTACTGCCCCAGTCACTTCCCTGCCCTGCACCCCAAGTCACGCATGCACCTCCCACTACCAGGAAGCCAGTGCTGGGGCTTCACATCCTGGTGCAGTGGTTTGAAGCCTGCCCACCACCTGCTGCAGTTGCCCAGAGCCTGGGATAGCTGTGACAGGAGGACAGGAGGCTTCAGACAGGTGCACCAGTTTCCAAAGCCTCAGCACCAGCTCCATTGCAGCAGCCTCTGTACATAAGGAAGGAAGGGGGATTTGATAAGTCTTCAAATACGTGAAGGATGTTTATAGAGAGGATAGAGATGGGCTTGTTTCTGTGGCTGTAGGAGACAGGACTAGGAATAATGGCCACAAGCTTTAGTAGGGGCAATTTAGGTTGCAGAGTCAGAGGAATGTTCTTACTGAGATGACAGCCACGCCTTGGAACAGGCCACCTAGAGAAATTGTGCAGTCTCTACCCTTGGAAGTTTTCAAGAGAAGGTTACACAGGCTGGGATGGTTTCATCTAAGATGATACTGCTTTGAGCAGGGGGCTGGACCAAATAACCTCATGAGGTCCCTTGTTAGCCCTACTTATTTTATGTTCTTATGATCATGAAACTTTTAAGAAGAATAGTATGTTACACCTACCATAAAAACTATTTCATTTTAAGGGCCTGCTGCAAATGGATATTATTCTATATGAACATTGCATTGGTTTAGTTATAACTGTGTTCCTCTACAAAGAGAAAAAACAAAACCCCCAAAAACAATCCCCTCCCTCCCCCACAGAACCTAGTATGTTCAATGACCCTCAGTTGCAATATAGGGCTTCATTCTTCTGACGATAACATTATCTGACCAGGAAAATTAATTATCATGTTTATTTGAATAGAAGATGACCATAATAATAAGATGAGCTCTCAATAATTAGATTCTATATACAAAAAATGGATAAATTTGTTATAATTTTGCAGGTATAGGATCTAATTTTTTGGAAGTTTGACTTGAATTTGTCTCCGTCCTACTGCTACAGCAGGGAAAATAAATGTGGGTGGTCAGGTAGTCCCTTTGCTCTCTGCTTTCCTCCTTTTTTTTCCATGGGAGCCCCTTCTCTCTCTTCTTACTGTCAGACCCTGCTCTCCTGATCACAGAAGTAAGCATCAAATTTCAAAATATCTAACCTTGAAATTAAGCATGGCTGTAGCAACTTGCATATAGTGCCCATACACTTAGTTCATCCAAAATTGATGCATATTACCTTTTTTTTTTTTTTTTTTAACTGCTGCAAGTTTTAGCACATGTAATCCATAAACATGCTTTTAAGTATTATGTTGGCATCTGCTTTTATGTAGTACAAATTATACATGCATTAGTCCAAAAACAAAAGGCTCAAGATTCACTGTATGGGCTAGAGTAGCTGGGCTAATCAGCAGCATTTCAAGCTATGGTGACTCCACAGCGCAGCACTGCCCAGTATGTGTGTATCCTCCAGATGCCCCTCACAAATGATCCATGTGCAAATTAACCCCCACTCATAATTGGAACTGGGTGTTCTTGTTATGAGTCCTGAGATCCTCCAAAATTGAGATGCAGTTAAGGTGCAAGGCAACCTGGCCCAGCTCCGTCTTGTGGAGGGTGGGGCCATAGTAATCATATGGGATACAGTGAGAAAGGGGGTGACAGAGGGATTCTGAGTGGACTATTTGGGACCCCATTTGGTGATGTTTGCCAGGCATTTAAGGCTGATGAAGAAACAGATTGGAAATGGGAAAGAAAGCTCTGCTGTGGGAATGAAGAGGAAGTAAAAATATATTCAATTCAGTGTCTCACCATGATTTGAAGAAGTCAGTGATGAGGGGGACTGTGCTTAAGGGTACTACCATAAATCTTATTAAGATTCCTAAACTATCTTTACGGTAGGTTCCCATCCACAGATTTTCCGAGTGTGGACCATGTGGCTTATATCCATACTCAGTGTTAGCTGAATTTAATCAACTTCATAGTTGGTTTCTACTACTAAGCACAAGCTGCTTTTGGCAGCAATTTAATTATGGACAGTGTATTTAGTGAGGCTTCCTTGTATGCAATTTCCAATATGAGGGGTGTTTTTCCCCATGCCAGTTGCACAAAAATCTACCACCACTGCTGAGGCAGTTGGGATCCTCAATTCAGGAGCTAGGACCGGGAATGTAGGACCTCTATTTTCCAATTTAATTATTCAATAAGAATTTTTTTACTGTACTAGATGTTTTAACCACTTGTTTTCTTAGGGCCATCTCTTGCTTTCTCATGTCTGGTTCAGCTACTGATTTTCTATATTTATTTATAGCCCACTACTTTTAAATTCGAAAAAGTCTTGCCTTCCTCTACTAGTTTGGAAGTTAGGGTAATACCTTTGGCTTCTTCCTCGTGCTTTCTCTGTGGCAGGTTAGGTTGCTCTTAGTGTTTTGGGATGTTGTGCCTAGTAGTTGTGCAAGAGAGTTGTTCTTGCAATTTTTAAGAATAGGTTAAACGTACACTTGTCTTGGATGATTTAGGTAGGGTCAATACTCCCTTGATGACAAGATGTACCTCAGGACATCTAATCCAGGAAAGTCTAACTTTTTTTCATTTGCTTCTGTAAATAATTTTCTTTCATGAGCCTGTAGGAGATCTCAAAAGGTGAAACATTATTATGCTACTGTTCTTGCTATGTTTTAAATATAATTTTGTAGCTGCTGTCCATTTCAAAGCACTATCTCTTGCATTTAAAATAATTAAAAATATTCTTTACTGAAAGCAGTAATCCATCACCAGCTGCATGCAAAGTAAAGTTTAATTATTGTTACTTTTTTGTTTAGTCTTTCACAAAAAGGGAACCATTAAGAAATTACACAGCATGTTTTGTCTTAACCATTTACATTAGCTGAGTAAACCACTGCTACAGACACAGCTTCCCTCTTCCAAATATGGGGCATTTTTGCTTGCCTGGTTAATGTTCTTTGGATAGAGAATGTCGTTTAAAGGCACAGTTGACTATATGAGGGAGCAAGGTAATGTTAGGTACTTAGACGAGACTAAACCTTAAAAAAAGCTATTACAATTTTGTTCAGATTTCACAAAACAATGTATACTAAAAAACAGGGGTGCACCAATAGGGAATTTTTGGGCTGATACTGATGGCCGATTTTTAACGAGCCACATCAACTGATGAAATCCAATTGCCGATTTATGCAACCGGGCAGTGTGGAGAGCAGCACTATACTGGTAAGTCTGTTGTGGAGGAAGAGGTGGGGGGGGGGAAGGGGCATTGGGGTGCAGATTGAGGCCCCTGTGGTGAGGGAGGGAGTGGGGCTCGGGCAGGGGCAGCTGCTGCGCAGCGGTATGGGTGGAGCATCCAGGAGCATGGGAGGATGGATCCCACTACCGCACACACCCTGAGAGGGTATGGGGGGTGTGTGCCCTCTGGAGCTGTGCATGGGGCAAGGGCAGGCTGCCGCTGTGAGCTGGGGCTGGGAGTGGCACTGGCCTCTTCCTGGTGGGGGCTGGGCTGTGCTCAGGGTGGGCAGCAGTGGTGCTGGGAGGGGGCTATGGGGGGGGAGCTGCAGCCATCTCAAAATTCATCATAGCCCTAACAGTGCTGCTGGCACTCACACCCCAGCCCCGCCCCCTGTGGAGAGGAGCCCAGCACCGACCCCAGCCCAAGCCCGCACTGGCAGCCTGCCTGCATCCCATGCATAGATCCAAGGACACATGCCCCACATATCCTCTCGGGGTGTGTGCAGTGGCAGGAGCTGCCTCCTCCCTCAACACTCCTTGATGACCTGCTCGTGGCTCTGTCCCATGTCCTGACCCAGCTGTGCAGCCAATTCTCTGCCCCCCCCCCGACACCTTCCCTCGCAACAGACTTGACAGCCAGACTCAGCTGCTCTCCATGCTGCCAGGCTGCACTCCTGTCCACCTGCATGTTGTGCTGCGTCTGTGCACATTCATGTGGGCATTATGGCCCACATCAGCCAAAAAATGCCGACTGCTGATGCAGTCAATTTTCCTTATATCATTGCCAATCTAATATGGGACCAATGTATTGGTGCACCTGTACTAAAAACCTATTTCATTGGATTTCAAGCATATTTAATAAGGTAAAATATATATATATATTAATCAGTTTAAATGGAGGCTCACATTGGATTAGTCATCTCAAAATATTTTAAGCCTAATTTGTTCCATCTTCAAATGACTAAAGCAATGATCCGTTACAATATATAAAAATGAAACTTTCTATACAAAGTCAGTAACAAATGTTGTTAAAAATATTCATTCAGTAGTCTACTTGAAATAGAATACAGCTCTTTTACTAGGTAGAGTATGCATTGCAACCAGAAACTTGCCCTGTGCTCATAACCTAACTATCATTTTAGCTGGGAAGTTTTGAGATTCCTTCTCTCCAACTTGAGATCATGGATAGAAGAATATAGCTTTGATGGCTTCCGTTTCGATGGTATTACATCTATGATATACCACAATCATGGAATTGGTAAGTAAACTTACTAAGCACGTATGTGTATAAATATACATCTCTGTCTTTTTGTCTTGCAATCATACTATTGTGGAAAAAGTAAAATACCAAAAAATATCAATGAGTAGTTCAGAACTATATATTGTAACATTTTAAAATTGTCAATTTGCTAACTCCTTGCTATGTTGTGATTAAGTGTAGTACTGAAAATGCAAAATAATATTGCTGGTAGTGCTGTGAAATAGCATATATCAAAACTACTTGTAAGTAAAATTTTCTGAATTTGGTACCTTTAAACTTCTTATCTTATTAGGCGAATCTTTCAGTGGCGATTACCATGAATATTTTGGTCTACATGTAGATGAAGATGCTTTGGTTTACCTAATGTTGGCCAATCACATGATCAAGTTTTTGCAACCCAGATGTCTAACCATAGCTGAGGTAATATTGGAACTTTTCCTAATACTTAAGAACTTTAGTTACTTGGTCTGTGCATGTTTGCTTATAATATCAGTAAATAAGTAGTAATAAACTTTATTCTTAATTGCCACTTCATATCCTTCAACATTAGTAAGGTATGTTTGGAATTCATAAAATCATAGAATGTTAGGGTTGGAAGGGTCCTCAGGAGGTCATCTAGTCCAATCCACTGCTCAAAGCAGGACCAGCCCCAACTAGATCATCTCAGCCAAGGCTTTGTTTAGCTGGGTCTTAAAAACTTCCAAGGATGAAGATTTCACAACCTCTCTGGGTAGCTTGTTCCAGTGTTTTACTACTGTCCTAGAATTCATGTTCCCTGCTAATTATTAGTCATATTTCAGTTACTGAACAAAACATGTAAGTAAATAGATACTCATTAGTAGACAGGCTTCTCCTTTATGAAAACATCTTCAGGAAAAAATACAACATTCATGATGTGTTTAATTTACATAAGCTTTAGGTTGTCATTTAGCTTTTATGAAGTTTATTTGTTTGGGTGTACCTTGATTTTCTGTTTGCATTGTGTTGGACAAATGTCACTACTGTTTGGTATTGAAGGTTCATGATGTAACAGCTCCCAAGGGATTATGAGCCAATGTAATTAAATATATGCATACTTGACAATCCCTCTGTGTAATAAATCTTATATATTATGAGCTTTGTTAAATGTTTACGCTAATATAAAGGTAACTTTTTTTTTTCCTGAGGCCTGTAAGTAGGTTTTATTATTGAAATTGGCTGAAGCCAGTGCAAATTGGTTTTGGGTACAAAGGATTATTGTTGGCATGCGGGATTAATAATAGTAATATCAAAATCCAAAAGCAGTAAGCTTTTGTGAATAGAGTGTTGGGGTGTTTCATAGAACTGTTTTGTATATAAAAAGAAAATCCTACACAGTATTTTTCTTAAGATTTCTTGGTGAATGCATTATATTATTAAATGATGCATAAGTGACTGATTCATTTTATTTTAAAAATGCCACGTAGTTGATAAATTACTGGGGAATGTGCAGGTCATTTTTTTTAATAATCCAAAATAACATCTAATGTTGAAATGTTGGCCTTCAGAAGACAAATAATGCTAATTTCATCTGTTGTATATGGCAAATTAATAGGCAACAGCTATATGTGCCAAAGTGCTCTTAAGAGCTTAATGATATCAGGTATTAAAAATAGCAACTGATGAGGAGAAGCAGTTACTTGATGCATAAAACTTATGGTTATATTGATCTTCAAGTTCATTTAAAATAAAATTGGTTTATCATCTAGGGAGCTATAGTCTGATTATCATTATTCCTACCGATGAAACTTTAAATTCAGCCTGCTTGTATTACCTAGTTTAAGACTCCTTTTTTAACAAGATGTGTCTTCAATTTATCCTGCTTAAATTGAAAACTACTTCAATTTCAATACATCATTTTTCTGTCTAGGGGGAACCTCTGTACAAAATGTGGAATTGATCCACATGCCTCATGGTGAAATAAATTTAGGAGGGAGGAACTATTGATATAATTTAAAACTACAAATGGCTAGCATGATTTTGTGCTTCCCATAATGACACAGAATGAGTCCCACATGAGAAAAGGTCTTGTCTAGACTGTGACAGATGGTAGTATAATCCTTAAAAAATTGTCTGATTATTTAAAGTAACAGATCTTAGTGTTCTGCATAGGCGTGTTTTAGTAATTTCTAGGCTCAATGTATTGTTCAGTCTTGAGATTCCCAATAAACTTGTGGCCCTGGCCTGATGCATTAGATTGCCCTCTGTTTTTTGTTCCATACTGTTTGGAAAGACATAAGCACTACTTTTGACTTTACATATAAAGCAAGGATAAAATGCTTTGTGTAGTCATGAGAATACATGTCAATAACCAAAACTGCATCATGTATTTAAGGTAAACATTTGGTTTTCTGCTCTCACTTTTTCTCCCAAAAGCTGAAAGAAAATGTATTTAGTTGTTTTTAAGTGGGGAACGATATCTCAATACTATTATAGGCTTTGTCATAGAAGGTCAAACTGTACATATAAAATACATTTGTGTACATAAAATTAAAATAACAAATTCCTCTCACCATAGGAAGCTCATGCAAGACTTTCTACACTACTACATCCCATTAGACTCTTGCTAGTAGGGCCTAAATTGTAGTGGAGGCTTTGTTTGAGTTCTGCATTTGGTTCAGTTGTATGTAGATGTGGTCAAATTCAGTGGAGAAGCACCTGTGATCTTTTATGCAAGTAAAATACATTGCTAGCTCTAGTTTTCTTAAAAAATTGCAGGAACTGGTTTTGTTTTAGTTTTTTACATTAAAAATCTTGTGCACGTCTTAGATACAAATATTTCTTAACATTAGTATTCTTAGGAAATTTAGTGGGGATGGTCTTCATTATTTTCACAGGTAAACAAAAATTTCTGCTGACATATAGAGACTCCTAGGATAATGTTAGAGCACCTTTGGATTAAGTCACTCGCATTAGAGCATTTGCTGCAAACAGAACATTTGTATGGGAAAGTTTTTGTACTATGGAAAGTGTCAAGGAGCTTTTGCTGCTACCAGTCAAATAATGTTCTCCTACATTTTTTTTCAAGGAAGTTTCTGGAATGCCGGCTCTTTGCTGTTCCGTTGCAGAGGGAGGAGGTGGATTTGATTATCGAATGGCCATGGCAATTCCAGATAAATGGATACAGGTGAAAAAAACAATCTGCCTCTTTCAGAGGCTTGGGACTCTTGGAATAAGAATGATGGGTAGTCTGTGTTCTGCTTGATTTGGGTTTTTCCTGTTTTTTTGTCAATTATGGGCTTCTAGGTTTTGGTTGGATTCATCCTGAATCATATTTTTAGAATCTGTAGTACAACAATTTAATGTTATTGTTGTACAGTGAAATAAATAAATAAATAATGTATGTACGGGGAGGGATTGGCATGTGTGAATATGATCTGGTAAAAATGAATCCTCTAAATTGAATGCAGTATATATATTTTTTATCAAACATTATAGTTTGAAGTAAAAAAAAAAAAAAGCTACTTAATCTGTGGGCCACACACCAGCCATCACTAGGATGTAGTTTATAAAAAGAAAAATAAAAGCTGTAAGTGGTTCTCAAGAGTAATAATGTACTAAATAAACACCAACTCTTATAAGATAGGGATTTAAATCAACCTCTCTTTAATACAACGAATTGCAAGAAAAGGAATAAAACAATAAGCCATCTCAAAAGGCTGTCAGAGACATTTCAGAGAATGTCTTTCAATTAGACATAAGATTACAAGCAAATCCCCAATGATATCATGATAATCTGAAAGCAGTAAAGGTAATAAATATTTCATTGGAACATTAATGTCCTCAATAACAGCAGAGAGTAGCTTAAAGGAAAATAAAATGGGAATTACATTATCCTTAGTTTCTTCACTCTCAAAAGATGGGCAAGTCCTGAAGTACACAAACAATTTCAAATCTGTTGGTTCCTCCCATCCTTTCACGTTGAAAATGAATTAACCAGTGATCCCAAAATGATATTGTGAAGTTTTGGAAGTATGGAGGAGATCTTCAGCTAAACTGAAGTACCTAACTCCCTCGCCAAATGCCTGCATAGCCTTGAGAATACCTACATATCCTTGCAGTGGGAAGTAAGAGCTGGACCTAGCAAGGACTGTTTAAGGCTTTCTTTCTCTTGTCTCCTATTGACTCAAGAAAGCTAAGCAGGGAGGGGGCAGTAAGAACCAAGGCTGTTCTTTGGAAATAGAGAGTCTGTTAAAATGTTCAGTAAGGTACTTTGCGGGTCCAAATAGTGATGAATATGAATGTTGATTGCATGCATTTTACAAATGTTGCTAATAGTTGAATTGGTGATACATCCCTTCTGTTTGATATTTTTATTTGCATTCCAAACTGTACTTGAAGGTTATCCACATTATTTTTATCATACATCATCTCCCTCTCCCCCACTTCAATAAGTGGAAGGTGTTAGGGATCATATGACACATGCTACTTTTAAGCCTAGTCTGTCCTATTCCATGTTGTGACTTTTCTGCTAATGATTTCAAAGTTAGGGTTGCTCATATAATGGTGTGCTGTGAATACATGGCATGGAAGTATGGGGAGTGGTAGAGGCAAAACTACAGGTTATGAATGACTGCAATGCAGGTATGGACTCAAAACCTGTAGTATACAACACCTATAGAAACCCTCTTATTCAGAAGAAGCAAGGATTGATGTGCAAATTGTACAACCAGTTTTGTTCCTTCCACACAAATGTTTAAGCCTTCTTAAGATGCCTAACTTGGATGTTGAGCATAGTATCATGGTATTCCATGAACTAGAGCTAAAGGTCACCAGCCTAAAAATTTGCTGAAGTATTTATGCTGACTTATTGCCAGCACTTTCTAGGGTGCATGAGAGGCAGTTGCTAAAATGTTTAACTTCATGGTGTCATGTTAAACTCCCCAGTTGTATTAGTGGCATTCTTTTTTAATTTAATTCTTCAGAAATAGGTTTTTCTTCCGAGGTTAAATTTAAACACAAATAATCAGAGGAGGCTTATAAAGCATTACGAAACAAAAGACAGGTTTTTAACACTGAAGTTGTTATGCTTAGTGAACCATTGAAATGGTGCCTAGTATCCCTTGATGTTCTTATAAAGCAGAAAAGATCAATTTAAATAACATTGACATACCACAGTTATTAATCAAAAGTTGGCAGCTGATATGGAAGAGAATTATAAAATACAGGTTTAGAGATTTTAAAGTATAATACAGAATTTGGGGAGCAAAATCCCATTTGGGATATCAAATAGAGGAACTGCATCACTTCAAAGAAAATTAAAAAGGCTAAGAATTATAATGAAAATTTTACAATTTAGGGGGAATTTTAAATCCCCAAATGCCATGAGAACATATGTAATATGGTTCAGTTAAAACTAATGTTTGAATGACCTTTTGGGGTTTTTTGGGGGTTTTTTTATGTTTTCATTTTTACAGATAATTAAAGAGTTGAAAGATGAAGATTGGAATATGGGCAATATAGTATATACACTGACCAACAGGAGGCACGAAGAGAAATATATTGCATATGCAGAGAGTCATGACCAGGTATTGAAAATATCTCTTTAATAAGAAAAGAGAAATTACTATACTTTGTCGGTTGGTGCTAACACTGATTATTGTCAAGATTTTTTTTGAATTCCTAGGATGGAAAACTTATTATTAACCTGTAAACGAACCATGCTGAACAGCTTTGAAAATCCAGGCTTCTGTAAAATAAGTAAAATGGAGCGCCAAAACTGATGGCTTTGACTTCTACAAATGTGATTGACTGATTTAAGGCAGTCTTAAACATGTTGGCTAGAATGTTTCCATTATTAAGGTTATCAAGGAAGAACTCTGAAAAAAAAAATTGAGAACTAATCCAGAAACTTTTTAGCAGATAAAATGCTTCTTAGGGGGCCTTAATTTTCTGAGTACCCAGAAGAAAATATTAAGGAAAAAGGCCACCTTCATTGGAAGACAGCAAAGGTTGGAAAAAAAAAAAAAAAAGTGTCCTACATTAGGCTAAAAGACCAAAACAGTGTAGGCACTAGATAGTGAATGCTGAAACCCTTGCAAAGCCATATTTAAATATTGCAAATGATGGGTGATCTAGCTTTCTGGGATCTTTATTCCTTCTTAAATTTAAGATGTGCTTATTTGCATGTTTTCTGATACTATCATACATTTGGCCATCCCATGAAGAAGAAAAAGGTGTCAACTTCCAGCCACCAGAATGAACCAAGAGTTGACTAAAAAAGTGGAACCTTTCATGAAAAAATCCAGATGAATATGGAGTTACCAGCATGCACTGGAGTAGAGGACATGGAGAGAGAAACAGACCAGTAAACTAGGGAGTTATGTTTGCTAGTATGTGATATCCCTTTGTCCTTCATACTTAGTTGCTCTTTAGATACCTACAGTATCATTGGTTTCCAACCCCACAAATTCCTGACGAAGACTGCTGAGTGCTTCTGCAAAATGTAGGAAGTTTTTGTAGTTCTTCATTTCCATTAAATTCGTGTTCTTGGTCTCAAGATTTACTCAATACAATGACCATTTAAACAAGATCATGATAAGATCATGATTTTTACTCCTCTTTATTTTGAAATTATGTTGTCACTTATAGTCTCATCTACCTGCTATCATACCACAGTATTTTTATTTTGAATGCAATTGGAAACATAATTTCACGGGAGCCTTAAAAAAACAAACAAACAAGATCCTTCTTTTCTCAACATCAAGAAAAGTTTTTGCTCATATGTTCTTACCTTAAGACTTTATTGAAAAAATATTAGTTTACCTTTCAACTTGGCCTATTTATTACTTAATGTATAAAATCAGAGTGTAAATGAGAAACTGATTGATACAATTAAAGCTATTTCATAGTTTCTAGGGTCAGAAGGGACCTGAGCAGATCATTGAATCCAACCCCCTGCCATGGCAGGAAAGAGTACTGGGCTCAAACGACCCCAGCAAGGTGTTCATCTAGCCTCCTCTTAAAGACCCCCAGGGTAGGAGCCAGCACCACTTCTCTTGGAAGTTGGTTCCAGATCCTAGCCGCCCTGACCGTGAAGTACCGCCTTCTGATATCTAGCCTAAATCTACCCTCTGCCAGCTTGTGACTGTTATTCCTGGTCACTCATGGTAGTGCACGGGGGAACAGGGACTTCCCCAGTGCCTGCTGGTCCCCTCTGACTAGTTTGTAACAGGCCACTAGATCCCCCCTCAGCCTTCTCTTGTGAAGGCTGAACAGGTTCAGGTCCCGTAGCCTCTCCTCATAGGGCCTGCCCTGCTGCCCCCTGATCATGCAAGTGGCCCTCTTCTGGACCCTCTCCATGTTGTCCACATCCCTCTTGAAGTGCGGCGCCTAGAACTAGACACAATACTCCAGCTGGGGCCTGACCAGTGCTGCATAGAGGGGGAGGATCACCTCCCTGGTCCTGCTTGAGATGCATCTGTGGATGCACGGCAAGGT